TCCTCGACGCGGTTGTTAAAAATCCAGCGACCAAACTCGTCCTTAAGGGGTTACACCACTTTGACCGACCCGAAAATTACGGTTTTTCAAGAATTTTTTTTTTAAGAATTAAAAACGTTTTTATCCAAATTAAAGTACAGTAAGGCATTATACTACTATTAAACCAAAAAATGCCTTTTTTGCATATTTTTTATTTATAAAAATGGCGGCTTGAAAGGCGATTTACCAGAGCGCTGCGAAAATCGATGATCGTGCGGTGGGCACGATAACTCAGTCCAGGTTTAAGTTAGAACAATAAACGAAAAAGAATTAGTATCTGTAGCCCAAAGACTAACGAAATACGTAGCCGTTTTCAAAAATATGCATCTTTCACAAAATGGCATCGATTTGATAGGAAAGATACGTATTTTGCCCTAAATTTCGTTAATTAATGTTGCACAAAAAATGCGAATATCAATACATTGAAAGAAACCATACGTATTTCGCTGGATAAACATATCGCGAATAAAATAAAAAAAAGAATCAAGACGATTGATTGAAAATTGACGGGGCTAGAGTGCCCACCGATTTTTCAAATGCAGTTTTAAGAAAAACGCGTTTACACCTATACACCTGCCCACCGCACGATCACCGATTTTCGCAGTGAGCGAGATTAATAGTAGTATAATAACTTACTGTACTTTAATTTGGATAAAAACGTTACAACTCTTAAAAAAAAAAATTCTCGAAAAACCGTAACTTTTGGGTGCGTCAAAGTGGTGTAACCCCCTAATAAAGAACAAAATGAACCGAGTCCGTACGGTATTCATATTCTTATACCAAACCACCCCCTAAATTGGGGTGTTTTTATATAAATGTCGCGAGGACTCGGAAAATGTCCACCTTGTGGAAGATGCGAGAAGGATCACTCACGGTCCAGAAAGACTAAACTCCCCCTTAGTGACGAAAAGGTTATTCTAGTCGACGCGACAATGTCTTTGGGGCAAACCACCCCCTGGGGGGAGCGTTTTTGTAGGCGTCCCGCGATAATAATCAGAGCGGGGAGAGGGGTGGGTCGCGGTCCCCCAATTTCGGAAGAGAGTTACCGGTGCGAGCTTAGAGTTATCGCTATCCGGTAATCGCGTCCCATGGAAACGTCCCCTGGCCGGGAGAAGTTATGTCCAGGCACTCGCGCGTGTACCGTATAAAGTGCGCCGTGTGTGCCCCGTGTACACGGTGCGGTACATCGAGTACCACGTGCTCGCCTCGGTACGGGGCAGTCGATACACGCATCGGGAGGAAAAGGAGAGCCGACCGACCCGGCCCCGGGCGCACCTGTGCTCGCACCTGATCCAGATCAGCCGAAGAGGACCCCGAAGTGTCCCTCGAGAAATTCAATAAAAAATGTTCTGCGGCTGCAAAAGCCAAGCCAACGGTCGAATGTCCCATTGTACATCACGTAGTGATGACTTACGACCCCGGATGACTTATCGCGCCGCGAATTATACGTTATCGGCGGGACGGGCCTATCAGGCGAACGCGTTTTGCGGAGGCCTGTCCGGCGCGGAACGCCCGCCACGCCCGACAGACGTCCTAACTCGACGATGACAGCCACCGATACTGTCGGTGTGGGTACCACTTGAATTTACAGGAGCCCACACGGCCCGACATTACTCGAGGGTGGTTCGCCCAGAATGTGCATTGTATTCCTTGTCGGCGGCGAGAATGCGTGTACCGCGTCATGCACCTAAGTTGCGCACTCAATTATGGCATAAAGCCAAAGGGGTAGAAGAGGGGGCACCGAACTTGAATTTAACGCGATGCCACGAATTACGGTGCTCTTTAACATAATTTATGAAGGAAACCCCGCCCGATGCGATGCAGAGTTTACGGCCGTTTCTCTTTTCGCCTCCGTTTGTAATTCCCTACCCCCCCTCGAAATTTTTTTAAACGTTTCATATTTTCCCTGGGAAGACGAAGCGACTTTCTGGGACCTCGTTTCTCTCGTTCCTGTGAACCTTACCTAAAAATCGATTTCATATCCCCCGAGAGCGGTACCCCGTACATCGAGGTCCACCCGACGGTTGTTCCGAGTACAATGCGCATTGTATTCCTTGTCAGGAAGGGGGGTACCCCTAACGACCGGGTGTATACCGAATTTCGCGTTAAGTCTCGACATAAATTCAGGACGAATGGATCTCTAAAATAAATTAAGGATCGACACGGTGCCCCCGGAACTTTACCGTAGATCAATGGTACCGCAGATGCGAGAATTACCTAAGGAACCTATCGGCGACACGGATCGGAATAATTGATCTTGACAAGGGATTAAGAGAACATCGGGCCGCTCATCATGACCTACGTTAACACCTCACCGACCGGAAGCCTATTAATCGATATCGCGATACCCGCGATCGCGATTTACATCCAAATTCCCCGGTCGGTAAAGCGTTAATAGGACGATAATTAATCTACTCCCTAAGTTTTATATCCGATTACGGCGCACTTAATATANTATATATATCTCGCTTATTAATCGTTCCATGTACTTAGAGGGATTTTCCGACGGAAACAATAATCCCAATAACGCTCTAATTTATTCTAAGTCCCATCTTGGCTTCGACCTAATCCCCTAGGCGTCCCGGGATTATTCCCCGGCAAATTGGGCCGGATGATAGCTGCATCTAAGAGATAATTGCGCCGTGCAAAATAACGCGGTAGAGGACCAATTCGACGTTTCCAGGGGGGAACGTAAACGCGCGTTGCACGCCCAAATGGGAACAATTTGAAGGGCCTACGTACCGACGTAATCTCCATACAGGCGGGGAGGGAACTCGTTCCCTTCAATCTATTTTTTTGATTTTTTTTTTTACCTTCCTGCCGATTTTCCCTTTTCACCCTTTCCCTTTATAGAAACGCGGCGTAAACCGCGTCCATGGTAGCGATCGAGCCGCGGTATAAAATAACGTGCAATCTTCGCACACGTCCCCCGGGTCGGCCGCATTCGTTAATTTCATTCCTCTTTTTAGTCCGGACCCGAACCATCGGCGATGTAAACCGGATATCAGAGTGTGCTCTGGATGGACGGAAACAAAAATAATAATAATAATCCCGCATCGCGAATAATTGAAGAATTAAACCCTTGAAAGCCCATTGAAAATACGCCGAATGTGGTCCGCGCGTATTTTTGCGATATAAAACCGAAGAACAAAAAAAAAAGAAAAAACAAAAAATGAAAAAGGTCAACCCTTCGCTCGATAGACCTCGTTAAACGGTGGAACGAGAGAGACAAACTGATAGCCGGTCAATATCCCTCCACCCCTTCTCGTTTTCTTTCCGATAAGCCGTTTAACCGTCGGGAATTAATTTATTCCCCGTTGTAATTAATTTCGCCTCGCCAGTCGCGAAACGCCCGCTCGCTTAATTCGCTGCAACGGACGGAGCGCTCTTAGGAGGGATGCAGCGGATGCCTTTAACCACGATATGAAGTTCCTTGATAATTTATAGTGTAAGCCCAGATGTTAAGTGAATAAATTTACCCGGGGGCGAAAATTTACTCCTGCGACGACGCGACCCGGGGAGGTACCCTAGAAACGCCGCGCTTTATTAGTTTTCGTGCCGAGGCCAATTTAAATATGTCAAAAGTGCAATTGACACGCGGAATGCCGTATCGGGTTTCCTCGTCCTTTCCGAAGGTAACACGGCGCGAGTTTCCCCGAAATCCCCGGATCTGTTCGGAATTAAAGGGGACTTTTGAGTGATATATCTCGCCTTAATGCGCCGGCATTATTGGTCTTGTGATGTCGGTCATAGTAATTCGCCCCCGCCTCCATTATACACCTGGCAAACGAATTCGAATTTCATGCTTAAGTATAATTAGATGCGGAATTGCGTATTTCGCGTCCTATGTTTACTGACCAGGAGGCACCCCCTTCGGTAACCCAAATGCTTTGTGCACAATTATTTCAACTTTGAATACCTAATTCTATTTATCCGCACACGCAACGACTGCACAACAAACATTTCCCTTGCAGAGAATTCCGTGCCTTCAATTAGCCGAAATTTACCCGCAACGCGTGAACCTCGAATTACATCGGAACTGTCTACCGTGTAAAAAGAGCACGTGGAAAATTCTCGACATTTCGACCCGATCGGCTAACCTAGGAAATCGGTCTTTACTTCGCAATTTCCAAACGGTTTGCATATCATGGAAATTTAATGAAAGGCATCGCAAAACCCTGCAAAAGATCGAAGCAAGATGCCTTTAGATGGTGCACTTCCGATGCACTCCCCGCAGCCCGCAGACGAGCGCTCGAGTTTCATGCTAATTTATAATGGATTCCGATGTTAAATAAATAAATTATGCGCCGCAGAAATTCCCCCGGCTGCGCCGGAAGTCGTACCAGAACGAACCCCGTGAAACATCGCGGTTTATTAGGTGTCTCGGGCTGCGAAGGAATTCCTACTAATTTATAATAGGTCCCTGCACTAAAGGGATCGGTTTACGGGAATGAGAATTTACTCGGCACCGGGGGGGAAGGGGTACGAAACAATTCGGAACATTAACCTTCGCCCCGGTTTCCTTTCGTTTACACGTCTCGCCTAGATTCGGGACGTAGACCGTAGAATCTACGGCATTCCTCTTGAAATCCAAAAACGAGCTCCTAAAATCGGAAATAAACAGGAAATTTTGCTTAAAGTCGATTCATTCGTGGGAAATTAATTACGGAAAATAAACGATACCTTTTTAAGCCGTCAAATCCTCCGAAAAGGCTGGTGCGGATAAACCGCAAGTGGATTCTATCTCGTACGGCCATCGGAACGTGGCGCAATAATTTACAACTGGACCTGATGCCGACTAGATAAATCGCCCGTCGTGGAAATTCACTTGCCGAGTACATGTCACTGTTTATTAGTTTTCACCTAGAATGGAAACTCGAGCAGGGGCCGGCAAAACGGTTCCCATTGTAACTCCACCCTCACCACAGGATCGACGCCTCTACAAAATTGTACACGTGGAATTCATTCGCGTAGTTCTCATATATTCACACATGTATTTGGTACAAGACTTACGATACTATCTCTGTATTTGTATCACTTTGTATGGTACAGTCATTAATTTAAACGGGTCATTCTTAGTGCCTCTCTTACACGATGTCAACGAATTGAGTAACTTCGGGCAAATGAAAGGAAGGAATACTGTGTAAACTGTGCAAAAAATCTTGTCAGGAATGAATATAAAGTGTTAAAGAAACATAGAAAATCAAATACTATATAGAAGAATTTTTCACTTATATCAGTATTGCCTAAGACCTCCTCGACGGATCATGGGCTGCATCATTCTGTTGGGTGGAGTAATAGAGATGTCCAGGTAATCGCCTATTGTAAACCTGAAGAGTAAAAATAGTATTTACGATAACCGAAGTGTCAGAATACAATGTTATATTATTTAAAATTACCTCGCTTGGGCCAGGGTTTTATTGTCGTCGGCACCTTTTTGCCCCGAGCAAGTTACGCCAATTTCTCTCATGCGGTAGCCAGAGTTACGCAATTCAGGAGTAACCAGAGAGAAATCGAAGTACGTCCCTTTGCTGCGGGCGTCGGGATTAACTTCTTTGACCAGTCCCGTAATCTCTCTCAACGTAGCATCCATCCTTTCGAAAGAAAAATTAACCCAACGATATGTGGCTGGCGATTAAAATATTTTTAATCATGCAAATCGTTACAACATACCAGGTGTAAATTTGCAATTCATTCGACGGCACATTCCCTCTGCTGTATTCTACGATGTTGTGGTGTCGTCCGGTATTACAAAATACCCGGAGAAGAAGAGGACACGTCTGAAATAAAATATTACCATTGAATGCATGCCGAGGATAATTTTTAAAATTTGCTACAAGTCAAGCAGTTTCCAGAAAACACTATCAATGCTGGACGCACAGAGAGCAAAGTTGGCGTCACTTCATAGGTTATGTATCACACATTTTTCGCAAACATAGCATTCCACCCGTTCCACATAATCGCTCGTCACTATTAATAGATAATAACCTAAATTGAGAATTACCTTTTCTCTATCTACCGGCTTTTCCGGGATTTGTTTCTCGTCAACAACCATGGACTCCAACGCGGTCGCCATTTTGTCTTCCTCTGCCGATGAATTCAGCATTCTCCATTCCCTATTTACCTACAATTCCGAGAATAGTGCTGCCCTCTCCCTTCCATCGATAATAAACCGACAGTCGACATCCACGCTTCCGTAATATTCCAAGTCGATCAGTCTACAGCGCCGCCTGGCGACGACTCGGAAAACTAAAATCGCGAATGTCGACCTAACAGATTCCCGTCATGCGCGCACAAAATTGCAATTATCCAAAAAAAATGAATTGCATCCCTAACCTTAAAATCTAAAATCACCTAAAACTTCCCTAGAATCTGGAGAATAATACCCGAGATAGCAGAAATTACAGGATTTAGTTAAACTTTGTTTAGCAGCATCGACATTGTTAAACGGTTCCTCCACCTCCCTTTCGCGGTAACGGCACGCCGAGCCATGCAAAACCCCAAAAACCTAAATCAACCTAAACTGGTTCGGAGCGAAGTCCGCCAGTGTCCGAGCAGATGCACGGCGGTGGGTGCATGGTGGGGGTGTGGAGCGAGCCGAGGCGCCGCTCGCCCACTTGTTCGGCCTGTCACTCGAAAGCGAGTTGCCGTCGGGGCAACATCAGCGCCCTCCCAGTCCCACCCCTCGACGGTCTCCGCGCGCAAATGTGAGCCGCTTAAGCCTTAAACGGAGCAAAGTAAGTGCGCCCTCGCCGCTTCTCCTGTTCCGTCGCCGTTCCACTGGAGCCGCGCCCCTATTGGCGGAGAGCCCGCAGATCCAGGAGAAAGTGAACTCAAGGAGATGCGAACAGTGCCGAGGGCCAACTTACCCAAGGACTCCGCGATTCGCGGGTAGTCCGTTCGATCGGATCCAAGGGAAAGCACCGGAACTCCCCGATCGGCAGGTGGCGCGGATGGAGCGGAACGAAGCCGGCAACGATTTCGGCGTTTGAAAGTGGAAATCGGCTCACCGAGTGGCGGATTATTCCCCGACGTCCTGACTCGTATCGATACCTCGATGATCTAAGACCCTCCGAGCGAAGGATGTCGCCGACGTGAAGACGCTGATCCCGGGCATAGAAAGTATCCAGGTATACTACCGTATATATTCTACATAGCGACCAGGAAAAAGGGCAAGATGAACGCCGAAGCCGTGCCGCGGGAGGTCAACGCCAACATCGTCAGTCTGCTGAACAAGTTGTCGGCCCTTCGAGAGAGCACCGGCGAGCCCTTGGCCAGGGCCGTGCCGATGTCCACCGAGGCGCGGAGCCTCGAATTCTGGAGGGCGGTCGCCGTCGAGTGCTTTGCTACGTTTCTTTTCGCCCTGGTCGTTTCCGGGGCCGCTGCGGCCTCCGCCGTTTCCGGTAGCGGCCTTTCCGTCCTGGCCACCGCTATTGCGTCCGGGTTCTCCATCGCCGCGATCTCCATGATCTTCGGGCACGTAAGCGGTAAGCCACTGCATTCATATAAAAATTTCATCTTTTGCAACACGCTATATATATAACTTCCCGAAAAAAATAAAAGAAATTAATACACTCGTACATGCCTCTGGATAAGCATTGGGAGCTAAAATGATAATATAAGGAAGTTAAGTTTTCAAGAATTAGAATATTATATGACGAATATTTTTACTTAAATAAATGCTGTCTCTTTTTAGGTGGACACGCGAATCCTGTGGTGTCGATATCCTTCGCCCTGTCCAGGAGGATCTCTCTGTTACGAGCGATTCTCTATGTAGCGGCACAATGCGGCGGTGGAATTGCCGGTGCAGCCATGCTCTACGGGTGAGTGCAAACCGTCCTCGAATTTCTCATCTATATTTACCCCGGAAGGGAAGGAACTCCCGAAAATGTGGGATTCCTTTTTTTTCCCCTCCCCCTATACGGCGAGCCTTGCAAGTCATACTCTGGGTTACTTGCATAATAAGCGCAGGGCTTTCATGCTTGATATATCCTGCTTTCTTTTTTTTCCCCCCCAGAGTCTATGAAAAATGTTGCCCCGGTGGATATTATTAATGGAAAAATCGGAATACCTCTCCTGCCTCGTCATTATTTACCGAGTATGCACGTTTACTTGGTGCCGGTGCATGTGCAGAAAAAAAAGAAAAAGAAGAGAAGGAGAAGGGGAGACGTAACGCATCCCCGGGAAGGGTGTCCGTGTGTTTTACACCAGGAGATAGGGAGGAACTTACACAGTTGTACACGACGCCGCATAGATCGCGTAAACCATGGCACACATGACCGAGTCGCAACAGATGCACTCTTTTTTACGAGGGGTCGTGGCCGAAATGCAATGGAATATAAGTGGCCGGGGGCAAAGTCCCCTGAGACGTCTCAGTTAGGGAAACCCTGCGGTCACCCGGTTAACTAGAGTATTGTTCGATTATTATTTCAGTACATATCACGCACTTGTTACCTCTTTGTATGGTGGCTCGTATGGTGGCTCCAGGACTGATAAAACGCCTCCCGCCGGCGCTTTTTATGGCGCCCTTAAACGCGTCCTAAGGGAGCGACGCATTATGCGCGCGATTTATGCGATCTGTGCGGCTCGTGCGAATTGTGCATTAAATTAAACCGCCCTCCCCGGTTCGATATTTTTTTTTCTCCCGCGAGGAGGAACCATGCGAGGCAGCATAGAAAGCCTTCCCCGACGCTGTGAAGTCGGTAACTTTTCGCGTCTGAAGCGTCGGTCGCCCTGTTTTCATACGAGATCCAGAGGGGGCTTTCCCCTATTCCCCGCGTAATCATTTAATTGGACGGCAAGGAAGGTCAAAACAAAAGGCGACTCTCGTAATTGTGACAATTGCCTCGGCGCGTTGCTTTCGAGTCGTCGGCGCCGTTTCGTCGCCGCGACGTTCCTCCCTTCCGTTCTTTTCCGCGGTGCAGCTGCGCCGACTTTCCGTGGGTTTGCTGGACGAGTTCGCTTCTTTTTTCTTTTTTCATTTTTCTTTTTTTCACGCGTTCGCTTTTTCACCGGCCGGAAGAATTCGCCCGATGGTCCTGACGGAGAAATTAGGCTCGATCCCGGTTCGAGAAATTCCAGGTCCGCGTGCCCCATGTAATCGTCGCCTTCCCTCGGCCTAGGAACTTCGCCAACGCCAGACACTCACCCTGGTCCCCGAGACCCAAGAGTTCCACTTTCCAAAGTTCGACTCCGATAATTGCAACATCTGCCGTCTCGCTGTCGCGTGTCTCCTCGAGAGATGCGCTCGCCTTTCGTGAAACTTGTCCCGGCCGCGTGCACGGGCCCCATAGGTATTCATTATATATATCTCCGTCTTACGGGCCCGCTCCTCTTGATCTTTTTTGGTCCAGGGAACATCTGCGGCAGCTGCGAGGCGGTGGCCGTAAGGACGAGAGAGGCAGGTGCGCCGAACCTCCGAACTCCCTCTCTCTTCCTCGCTCCCCCGCCAATTATCCCTCGGCTGCCTTTTTCTGCCTTTCTCCGTCCTCCCTCTCTCTCCCGCACCCGCGGCCGCCGCTCGCCCTCTCTCCCTCGCTCCTTCTCTTTCCGCCGGGAATCTAGGAGCGGGCCCCGGACGCGTGCAACGCCCTATCCTGCCGCCGACCAGGCGTCGTCCCTCCCTCGAGGAATGCTGAGGAACACCCGAATAAATATGCATTAACGATATCTCTCCACGAATCGTCCATGGGTCTGCGAAGAATCGAAGGTTAAAGTGAGACTTCAGGCGGGAGCAAACGAGACGCGGCGGCCATCTTGAATTTCTACCCACGCACTCAGTTTCCGAATTTGCGAAAAGCGTAGCTCTTTAAATACATTTAAAACGCGTGCCAAAGGGCATAGACGCTGGTATCGGATTCAGGGTTTGTGTTATCATACAGAGGAACGTGAACATCACGAATTTCGGGGGGTAACGGGTACTTTAGAGCATTTTATTTCCATTTGAAAAAAGGCGAAAGCGCTTGCGGACCAAGATCCAACATGGCGGCCGTCTCGTCCTGCCCCTCGAGAGTTACTTGGCTGTGCTCTCGATTCTTTTTTTTTTTCTTCTTCTTCATGGATCTACGGTCCCTGGCAAGCTCCGCTGTTTGGCAAGTTCTTCTCGGATTGTATATACAGGGTGGTGCAGTGCCAAAGCCGGGGCGAGTAGAAATGATCGATGCACTTGATTCGAGGCCCCGGGGGCAACCTGTGCCCCGTTTCGCCGATTCACACGCGGGGGTTCGGTGCCCCCGAGACCGATAGATTTTAAACAGCTCTCGATTCGAGTGCGGAAGCCCCGCTAGCTCTTTAACGAGCTATTGATACTCCCCGATCCCCCTGCCTGCGTCACCCTCCGCACATTCGCGGACGTGAACGTAGACACTCATACTTTTACCCTGTACACGGGGCAACATATGAATGGGATATCCAGCGCTCTCAGGACGCCCTCCTCTGGTATCACGTGCACCCCCTCTCGGTGAAAACCGCACATGCGATATGGTAAACGGGGAGCTAATACGGAGTCGACATGATTCCATTATAAAGTCGAGGCTGGGAAACTCTTCGCCCGACGAAATCGACGCGAGGCGAATCCACGTGAGAAACGTCACATGCGAGATACGCCCTCGATTCCTTTGGGGGTTTGCCCCCCCTACTTTTCAAAGCACGTGGACGCTTTTGCGTTACCTGGTTTCCCTCGCTTTGCCACGACGAGGCTGGGGTATAAAAAGTGGACGCGAGGAGTGCCTTCGTATCGGAATTCTCGATGAAACACTCGACTCGTGGAGGAACCGGCGCTCGGTGTACAGAGAGGGTCCCTCCCTTTCTTTCGAGTGCAGAACGTCCACCGCACAAAATGGAGCGGACGGGATGCGGAGGAAAGGGGAGGAAAAAATGCCGAGTCGCGGCGACGGTATCCGCGGGCTGTCCCGCACAAGGGAAGATCGGCACAATGCACGGGGATCTCTTTTAATGCTCGGCCCCCGGGAAGGCCGATCCAAGATGGCCGATCAAAAGGGCCCTAGGTGCCCACAAAAGGGCAGGGGCAGGAAACGCACGCCCACGCATGCTCCTTCCAGGTGCACCTTTCGACACGGAGAGGATTATCTGCGTACATGCTTTACGCACCTCCTGGCCGCAAGGTCCAGGGGGATGTTTGCACCTAGCCACCCTAAGGGTGTACCTATTGATTACTAGGCCGATGAAATTCAATGATTTGACGTTTGTTTATCCTAGGTTCTAATGAAATTCTTAATTGCACGGCTTGAGCGAGAAAAGTGAATTTCGGGAGAAATTTGATATTGGGCGCGACATTTACTCGGAATTGCGACGATTTATTGGGGTGAAATAATTATCTGTGGAATGAAGAAAATATTTCTTCGGTTCAATGAATTTCTTTTTTCTTTTTTTTCTTCCTCTCAGGGTGTGGACGCGTATATGGAATTTAATAAAATTGTCACGTCGAGGAAAATCTCAGCTGATTAATTCGAGGGTCGCCAGGACGAAGCGGCCGAAGTGCCCCGATTTTGTATGTCCTCGCTGATTGCTTTGTGCCTTTTGATTTCCGGTTCCATAACGGGATCCTTGGAGAGGGTTTTTCGCGCAGATCCTTCGACGGACCCACCGGTCCTGGATCAGCCTGTATAGGTGGAAGACCCAACCTATACGAGGGGGGGGCGGGGGTCGAGCTGGGGCAGCTGTTCCGAGATACCGACGGATCCTCCTCGGCCCTCTAAATCGTACCATTTGCCTTCTTCCAAAGAAACACGTGGCAGCCACATGTTGCTCCAAAAGGAATCTCCATCCTCGGCCGCCACCCTCGGCCCCTGACAAAGGATCCTTGGGGGCTCCGTGATTATTTCCAGACAATGTCGAGGATCTCTCCCGGAATCGGCGAGCGCCTCTCTCCCCCCTGCGAGGCGATCCTTCCAGTTTCCTTTTTATTTTCACTCTTACTTTCAATTACATATTCCTTTTTTATTTTATTTTCCCCTTTCCTTTTCCGGCAGCCTCGACTCGTCCGACTCCAGTTGGGAGCTAACGAGTCGACCCTTTGACGGAACGAACGAGGGAAGAAGGCGCGAGGGAACGCGAAGAGAGGTCCAAATGTTTCCAAAGTCGGGACCATCTGTTGGCAACTTGGGCCCAACCTAACTTCGCTTAATCCGGACCCTCCCTTTTCTTTTTCTCTTTTTTTTTTTTCACTCGGACGACTCCTCCGTCGTGCTCAACCTCCTTCCCGGAGGGCCATTGACTGGTCGCCGTGCCGATCGAATCGGAGCTTTGCGATAATTTATGCACGACCCTTAAGGTGAAGTCAAACACGTCGAGGAACTTGATCGACGTCGATAAAGAAGATTCTTCTAAATGCCCACGTTGCCGACATTCGTTTTTATATTGACAGCTGGGTCGAATTGTATTGGGTATTGTACCAAATGGCATACTCCACCTGTCGTTTTCGTACAATAAATATCAGGAAATCGAAGCAAAACTCCAGAAATCCTCTGGATTCGTGATTTCTGGGGCCCTAATTGACTGCAGAGGGACCCCCAGCGCCATCTGTGATTTCCAGGTCAATTAAATTTTCACTCCGAGACCTCGTATTACCATCGTTTTAGCATAGAGGCGCATACAACACTTTTTTTGCCCTTATCCCGTTCAAATGCGAGTTTATCGATTACCAGAGTGTTCTAAATTGTCGTAAAATTGTCCTGACCCTTTAGTTTCTCATATCAGAGCCTTCGATAATTATATATTAATTCGAAATATGAGAGCTCGACGCCATTTTGGTTCTGGTCTGGGCTGAGTTAAACAATTTTGTTAAGAAATCCAAATTTTATATGTGTCAGGACAATTATTAGATGATCGGGAGTGATGTGTCGAAGTTTCGAACAGTTTGGTCTTTTGAAACGCTGCACCCTCTACCTTCCCCCTGTACCGAGATTCCGGGATCTTAGGATCCTCGACGTAGCACCCCTCGTAGCAGGGATTCCGGATTTCAGGATCCTCGAGGCTGCATCCCGAAATACGCCAATCCGAAATATGGTCGTCGGACCTTGAAGCTCAGGGAAAAGGTGCGCCATTGCGCAGGTAAAATTCCTTTCAACGGAATCTGAACGGCTGTTCTACCTGATTCACCTGGGTTCCCGTTTGCGCACAGCCGTCGGGCCTCGAGAGATTCCAAAATTGAGGATCGATCTAACGGTTTGAAATAATATCATAGAAGGTGTCAGGACGCATGGTGAAGGATTCCCCGATTTGGTAGAATAATAACGAGTGGGCGAATTTCTGCTTTCAGGGTGACCACTCCATCCGGAACGCAGACGCTGACTTCGTCGGGGCGGCTAGGAGGAGCCATAGAGAGACTTCTGGTGGAGCTGACCCTGTCGGTCCTGATAGTCCTGGCACATTTGGCGTCGGAATTGCCGAAGGCCCTTCCGGTGACGGTCTCCACGAAGCCTGCCGTTATCCTAGCAGCTGCTTACACCGCTGCGACTCTCGTCTCGGTGACTAAAAAATTCATATTCATTAGTTAAAGCCGCACAGTGTCCCGAGATGTTTGAAATAACGTTTGTCAATTCTTTCAGAGTCCTTTCCTGAATCCCGCGCGAGCCCTGGGCCTGGCCTTCGTGATGAACCGCTGGGAGAACCACTGGGTGTACTGGGTAGGACCTCTCTCAGGGGGAGCGATAGCCGCTCTCCTCCACGAGTACGTCCTCTGTCCTAAACGTCAGAGAGAGTCCTGCGACATCGACGACGGGGACAACTCCTCGATCCGGTCGGACGACGACCCATACGACGATTTGGACAAGCCGTCCGGGTCGAAGTTCCCGGAGGGCTGCGCGACGTACAGACCGGTTGCGGGAGGAATCTTGTCCTCGGTGTACAGCGCCGCCCCGTCCGGTGGGATAGACCACGTAGAGCCGATCTACAGTGGGACGAAGTCGCTTTACTGTAAGTCACCTCCCCTGACGAGGGCGAATCTGAACAGGTCGCAGAGCGTGTACGCCAAGTCCACGTCAGGGCCAAGGGACGGCCTGATGATCCCGAAGCCGGGGCCCTTGATCCCCGCGAGGAGCCTCTACCCGATGAGAATCGGCCAGAACAGCCAGCCCACCGCCAGGGACAACGGCCAGACCCTGCAGCCTCCCCAGGCCTCGCAGAGCCACACGCCCAGCCAGAACTACAACAGCACCAACCAGAACATGCAGAACCAGCTGCAGCAGTGCACGCAGAGTATATACGGCATTCGGGGCATCTCCACGAGCTTGAACACCCGGGAGAACGGGATCTACGGGGTGTCGACGAGTTCCGGGATATATGGACGTGCCCCTGCGCCTCAACCTGCTGCGCCGCAGGGCCCTCAACAGCAGCAGAGTGGCCAACCCTCAGGGCAGAACTCCAGTCACCAGTCCCACAGGAACAGTCCTCCTGTTGTGAACTCCGACAGCGGGGCCACCTCCAGGAGACCCGAGAGCATGTACGGCCACGTTTCTCGGAGAAGCGACGACTCCGCTTATGGCAGCTACCAGGGATCCACTAGGGGGAACTACGGCAAGGTTCCTGGCCCTGCTGGACCAAATGGCCCACCTGGACCTCCGCAGTACAGGGATCAGAACAGGCCTCCGCCTGCGGGGCCGTTGCAGCAGAACCAGAACGCGCAGAACTTCCAGCGGAACTCGCCTAACCCTCAGTACTAATTAATACTGAATATGTGCGGTAGAAAGGAACATGGCGAGGACGAGTAGGGAAAATAACCCAAGTGATGTTTCCAACCGAAACGTTAGTAGGGTGATCCATGACGAGTTGGAGATTAATGTACGCGTTGAGAGAACGTCCTGCTTGCCTGTTAACGGTCAAGTGATATTTTTACACTGCCAGTCAATATTCTTCGTGAGATTGTAGATCTAAAAGACGCAATGGTCTTGGAAAGTCTGAGTGTATCTGTAATATCAGGGCTCGCCCTGTATAGAGTGCGATGAAAGTTGTATCGTTAGGTACTAATCATTTGTATATACCACTTATATTTATTACTTTATGCTTATATACATAGGCGCTGTATCGAGTGATAAATGTCATGTTTTTAGAGACCTTCGATAGATATCTAATTCACCTAAACCCTAGTTTCCTGTTGCGGTAGAACTCTACCTAGGATCGTGCATGACAATTTTTATGCGAACAATTGTTTTTAGATCTATATAAAATATTTATTATATTTGATAGAACTATATCATCGATACAGCTGCTTTTCGAATCAACTTTAATCTTTGAAGGACGAGCTTTAAGGTAATGACAAATAATAAATGCATCGATTTTGTTTATAAACATATAAACTCTTTATTGATATAAAACGTAAAAACAATGTGTTACGCTACGGACGGTTCTGTGTTAAGCAATATTCTTGTACATATACAATACGATCTTTAAAAGATCATAACCGTCAATGATTGGTCACATAATTCGTACCGATTGGACTTAGTTCACTATTGTATAAAATCCTTGTGATAATTTGATATCAAAATGTTCGTGTTTGGTCAGTGGTCAGGTATGTACAATTTAAGTAAAATACAAAGTAAATTCACGCGTTGCATTAATTAAAGGCACATAATTATCCTTAATTCTACTAAAAAAAAAAAACGCGCAAAGACGTATAAAATTAATGGTAGGCACTTTCTTACAGCTAATTGTAAACCTATAAATAATTTGCACTTTTGTGGGACTATCTCTAGATGAGCAGTAGCGAATATTGCAATTATTACAATTGGCAGTAGTACAAAATTTCTTAATTATACGGTGGGCTTTTTCCAGTTAAACGAATGTGCTTGGTAATTACTTTGTACGTTAATTATATGCATAGGCAAAAGTATACTTAGGAATGTACTGAGAATGTTATGCAACAATAAGTGCACTTTTTGTGAACTGTCTATCGAAATGTTTGCATGGCTGAGGTCGGTAAGCTTATGATTATGTGATGCAGCAATTGAAGTAATGCTGCACACGTGGAAATACACGCACACCATACACCAAAAATTGATTTGAAAACCAAGTGAACGTAAACCGAAAATTCACACAGCTGTTTGAGGAACCCCTTGCACAACGTGAGTCTTACTCTTACCTCTGGGTATCGTAGACTGGCTCGTGGTCTTGTTGAGCCTTGGTTGACCATTCGGTGAGCTTGTAACAAAACCCTCTGAACGAATATCCTTGAGAGAAGTGTTCGAGTTGCTCCTCAAAGAAGGAGTCGAACTGAATTTTCTGTTTTGCGCCAAACGCTGTTGCAACTTCTCTTCGTCTTGCCGTGGCACCCTGGTTTTTATTGGTGGTGCATCCCGATATTCGTAGACATTCTCTTTCGACGTCCTCGTAATATTTTCCACCCCCTCGGAGTGGTCTTCCTCTTGTACCATTAGAATGTCTCTACTGTAGTAATGGTCTGACTCTCTATGAATGTGCATCAACGGCAATGTATCAATATAAAAAAAAATTATCAAAGGTGAATAATAATAAATTAACATTAATTATCTCTAATTCCAGTGCACAGATTTAATTTGCATGGTTGAACCTAATCCTCGCATGCACTACAAACCCTCGGGCAATAGGTAGGTTCGAGATGAGTGAACTTAACCCCACTTTTCCGCATGTCGATTGTCTATGAAATCAACGTCGAAGTTAACACTCGCCTCGATCCTACCGACTACTTAGGTGTAGTTACATGAAAACCGTTCTCGTTTACCTTTGCTTACCTTTTGGCGTTACGCCACAGCATGCAACAGACTACGCACAGAACGATTAATAACAAACATGCCGTTGACATGGACCAAAATGCAATTTGCAGCGGTTGCTTCGGCTCCCACCAGTACTGTTAAAAATAAAAGCGATAGAAAATAATATTAACAGGATATGCTTTTTTTTAAGTCTATATAATACTGTCAATAGTTGCAACAATAAATGTTACCTCTGTAACAGGAGGATACGTCGGCACCAATCGACCGATCACAGTTGGTAGATACATCGACCAAAATGCACTCTCAGTTTGTCGATAATTTAACAGAATCGAACTATTATATGTTGTATTGATGTTTAAGTAGCGCAACTGACCTTGCTTTGCTACTTCAAAATGCAGTCCCAAAATCTGCTCAGGTGTTGGGTTTCTAAAGCAACGAAATCGATAACAGGCCAAAAATATTTATAAGAAATATTCTACAGGTAAAATTCAATGATAAATATTTTGCTTTTAATTCTTACCCGTATTTCGCAAAATTACTGTATGCTTTCATGAAGAAATAACTCATATTCCGATCACTGTCAGTCCACATGTCTCGCCTGAGCTTTAGGTTTTGTGGAAAGAATTCTGGAAAGGCAGATAACATTATTTTAAAAAATGCTAACAATATGTTAGATATTTAAAGAATCGGAAAGACTCACCGACATCCATGAAAGGTGCTCCGGTTAATAACAAATACTCTGTATCGTGCGGCACTCTTCTCCAAATTGGTTGGTTCAAAGCTTCGATTGTAGTATTCAAGACGTACAAATAAACTGGTACTCCTTTCTCAACCAAGAGCTTGGCTATTTTGTCAAACGGTGCAATGTAGAGGAAATCACTCAGGAGCTAAACAAAACAATAATAAATTTTCGGAGTCCTTACCAATATTCCAATGTTCAACCAACAGTACTTACATTGACATACTGATCCCGAATGTGCGTAACATTATTTGGATCAGGCCAGTATGTGTACATATACTTTATGGCTTCATAAACACCGAGTGGATTGAGAGTATAATTATACCGAAGCACCAGCTCCCAAACTTTTTGTTCAAACGTCTCCATATTGATGTAGTACTGACTCCGTTCCAAAGTAGCATTATTGTCTAAAAACATTTCTTTTCATAGCATGTTAATTAATTTTACTTGAATATAGTGATCGCATTACTTACATATAATGAACGCAGCTTCCTGAGTCGTTACACCAGCCATGTAAGCAATGTCAGGTCTAAATTTGCCCTTCTTAATGCTTTCCTCTGGGGTTTCAGTAAAAAAATGCCAATCGGAGGCTCTCCAGGATTCGTACCAATCATCTCTTGGTACCGTATAATTTATATCCAAAACTGGACCCCAAGGAAACATACCCACATCAGGAGTGAGCTCGGCATTACTAAGTTCAAAAGAATTTCGACTGTCTTTTAAACATTGTACTAATTTCCAACTGCTTTCTATGCTACAGCCAACAAGCTTTCCATAAATTCTCGAAGTATTCTGAGCTCGATACTTATCAACGATCAGTGCCCAATCAGACAATGCAGAACCAGACTGTGCTATAACTTTTGACACCAGATCACGAGTCCTACAATTAACAAACGTTTATTATTACAGGAGGACATTAGAAACCAGAATAGAAAAGAAATATTTAATTATAACGGAATTATTCACCTTGGTGCGACCATTAACAGACCAGCACTTGCTGCACCTGCACCTGGCCCGAATAGTGTAATAGACTTCGGATCACCATTGAAATACTTGATATTATCATAGACCCATCGCAACGCTGTGGCCTGGTCAAGAATTCCGTAATTTCCTGGACTGTTTTCATCGCCGGTACTTAGAAATCCTAAAATCAAGAGAATGTGCAATTGACAGTTTAATGCTATCGGTTTAAAAATATTGGAATGTAACTCTCACCTAAAGCACCTAAACGATAATTAATTGAAACGACAATGACATCATGGAAGCCAGCTAACATGTGCGCTGGGAATACATTACTCGTTCCATGAGTAAATTCTCCTCCATGAATGTATAGCATTACAGGATATGGATGGGCTAATCCATATGTATTCTATAATAACACATATGGAAGTCACAACTGGAAAGTAGAATACATTGTGCAGTCAACTTACATTGGGGGTAAAAATATTTAAATATAGGCAGTCTTCGTCAACGTCACGAATGCCTTTAGTTATTCCTGTGTATACACTGGGCTGCGGACACGCAGGGCCCCAGTCCACTGCCTGTAAAAGCTGCCAGCCCCTGAAATTTTATAATGAGATAATTTCAGATCTATCCTCTGAAATTATATCTTGTCTGTATATGCTAACTGCTATTTTGTTCCAATGACCGAACAGGTCCGCCATTGACATACACGTGGTAGTCAAATGAAGAAAAATGAATTCTTATTAATAAATTATTGTTTCAGTTTATTATTTAACCAACCTATGAGGTCTAGGTGGCTTAAAGCGGCCTTCCTTTGTAGGTGGCATAGCATAAGGAATTCCCAGAAACACGTTAACACTTTTTGTGACTCGTTCAACAGGCACGCTCCAGGGTCTATGTCTCGCTTCAGGATTATCATACAAATAGACTTTAAAACCTTGAACTTGTCCATAATCTGTGGTCACATAAATATCTCTGTCTAAATTTTTGGAGTCTGGTCTTTCCTTTCCTTGTAGATTTTCTCGCCAGCCTCCCAGGATTCCAGGTAGGAAATATCTTGGTGTCGTGTCCTAATGAACAAAACGGTATCGTGATCGGAACTTATCTATACTGACAAACATCCAATTAAATGCATCCACTATCGTTCTTTTCCTATGCAATATTTCAAGCATTTTCTACATTTCATTTCTCAACCAATTGAGACCGGTCGCGGGTCATAATTAACTTCCTCGGAACTCGAGTCTCAGACGCCATTCCAGAATGAATCATCATCGTGTAATAAATATCATTGTGTATGTCTCGCTAATATCTCTTTTTTTCTTTCCATTCAGAAAAATTACAAGTAAAAATTCAGAAGAGAGCAGAGCACAGTGATTCATTCCAAATAAAAAATTAACAAAGATAAAAAGCGTTACCCCATAATTGTAGCGATTTTCCGGGGCACGAGTGGGTATTCCGTGTATTGGATCAAGATAGCTGGGCTGGTTCCCATACCTCCGGTCCTTGTAAAAGTAGGTCTTATAACCTTCAATATTGGATGGCACGTAAACGCCATCCCGGTTATATTGACGACCTCCTTCGGGAATCGGCACCTGACAATGAACTGTCAAACTCAACGATAACAACAACAAACCGACAGGAACTGTCAAAAGGTAGACAGGTCTGTGACCCATACTTCACTTTCACGTATTTACGGACGCGCCTTATCGTGTTTTTTTGACACGCCCCCGAGCAGGGAGTAGCAGAGAGTGCTCACTCTTCGGTTTTACTCGCTATCGACAAGTCGCGTCACTTAGCGGCCTCCGATCATAACTATCCCAGCGTGGACACAAACCTTGTCCTACTGTTCACATTGGGTGTCACACAGAGCCCGGCACAGCGATGCGTCAAACGCAGTTCCTACTCGCTTTTCATCCTCGACGCGTTGACGCTTTGTGTGACATCCGACGCGCTCGATATCACACACTTTATAAGTAACAGAGCGATCCCAAAGATGGCGCTCACATCGCGCTAAAAATTCGAACTGATCGACTTCGCTTTTCTCTCTGATTGGCAATCGTGCAGATTCTTGTAAGGCGATTGGTCCATAAATCTCTCCGGGCGCCGTCATAATTCCGCGGACCAATTATCAGCGAGTATTCTGGAACAATCGACTAATCTCGATACCCGACGGTCCGGGGCGATTTGATACTCGACTCGCGCCGACGCGATTAATCCGTGATACGGGGGAAATAAAATAATTGAAAGTGAGTAGAATCGCTATATGGGTCGAGTAATTTATGGTCACGTGGCTGGCCTGGGGCAAATCTGGGGTTAAGTAGTCCGTACGCGAAAGAGTTGAGCGCAGTTGAGTAACGGCCTTCGCGTTAAGTGGATGTCGGTCTCCTTCTGACATGCCAAAGAATTAACTGCCAATCTTTCGCGCAGCGATGGGATCGTGAGGATTTTTTAACCGAACTTTATCTTCGTTTTAATAACTTCGTCGGTGAGTACTTGCCAGTATTACTGACTGACCCGGGCATGACAGGTGCGATTTTTATTACAGATCCGATTGTCCGAAATAATCGTGCAGAAGACGGAGCGAGCTCGGTAATTCGACTCGCGTGTACGTACGCTAATAATTCGTTAGACTCTTTGGGACGAATTATTCACATTTCATCGATAAGCAGAGGCTAGCGTTATTGCGGCACTCCCGTTATATAAATTCGAGCAATTTACAGAGATCAAATCGCGACCTGCTTGCGGACTGTTCAAATTCCTTGCTACTTATTATATAAGCTATTTGGTTTTGTCAGCCTGCAGTTGCCTTATCAGGGAAAAGGGAGATCTTTATCACCACTTGGATCGGCCATGGTGACGATGAGTAATGAAAATCATGCTTTGTTATTCTTAGTCCTGTTATGTAGAGAGAGTTCCGTAGGTATGTCACAAGGTATTTTACAATCGTTAGGAATCGTTGGGAAGCTTGTTAAATTTGCGTGCGGTTTCTCATCACGTATTCAGTTTCCAAGGATTTATGGAAAAATAGAAGTCTGGCGTGTATTTTACAGCCGTCACGTATTTTTGGTTTATTGTATTCGGCTTTGAAATAGTCCAATTATCATATCTCTGAAGTCTAAAACGTGCTCATGGTTGCTTTTGTCTGGCTGAAATCGCATAATGTATCTCTGCCTTTGTAAAAAAGTCGCATGTAATCCTAACCTTTACCATCTCCATAATCTAAGATTTTATATTGCAATGAAATTGACCAAGAATATGTAATTTCTCTGGAAGGCCTTAAGTAAGCTAACGACTGAGTCGTCAAGACATTCTGAGATGTGACAAGAAATTGTCTACACGTTTTTTCCAAGGTCAGTGAATATTCCGGAAAATGTAAACAGAGATACGAAGGCATAAGACCGTGCAATGAAACGTTCCCAGGACATGCCAGGAGAAAATAAACCAACGATGGGTCTGTTTATGAAATAATCTCAGCCCAGCTCAGACTTGTAGAATTTAACAGACTTCCACTAATTGTCGGAAAGTTTATAGCCGTAGCACTGATTGGCAAGACTTGGTTCGCCTTTCTTGCCACTCGAGCAACTCAATTTCTGGTGTAACATTACTGTCAATTGTAAATACTAAACGTCTATTATTCAACCTTGCTTGTAGGTAATGTCAGATGAAACGGTGCACTGATTACATGCGAGAGCCATCCAAAGTAGAGGCAATATCCTGTTTTATTCACACTAGCAAGAATTGTAAGCTCACTTACACACTTGGGCAGATCGCACATCGCTGTGTGATTTATTCGATGAAAGAAATGTCCACATGAGTAGCTGACAAGACGGTATAATGCTTTTGACTAACCATTGTTTGTTTTCATATCTCTGTTTAACACCAGGCTGGTTTTCTTATCTGAGAAAGTGGAATTAGCATTTACACGTTTATTCATGACCAGGTACGCCACCCAGGGTATGCGGTCTGATATCTTGTTCTAGGATTTCGAGGATTATCGGACAACTTTCTACCCCTGAGGTATTTTCCATCCCTGAGAGTCGAGAGAAAAATATTTAGGGTATGAAAGCCGCGCTAAAAGTGATGTGAAGTAGGCTCGTAGTCGAGGGGAACGCTCCGAAGGTTTCTTTCAGTGTTTAAAAGTGTAAAAGTCGTTATCAACAGTGAGGTGCTTATTTGTCGCAAGCGAGTGGAAGCTAGTTAATCAAGCTTATAAGGGGCCATTTATTGACAGCCTTGCTTATCCGCTCCCCGGGAGGCTATCTATCGTTGTCTACCGATGTCAACAGGAGTAATTCTAAACTCCCAATGTCGCAAGACATTTCCTGCAATCTACAGGTTGATTCTTATTTGGGCTTGTCTTTTTCTTCTGAGTGGCTGCCGCGATAGACCTGTTTACTCATGCGTACGCCGCTTCCAGGTAAATCACCTCATTTCTTGACTTCAAGATAATGAATTTTCCTCGTCGTGTTTTACTCCTTGAATAGAATCCTCATAATGAGCGCCGGCAATAAATCTCGCGATTAAAAAACAAAACAAAAAAAAAACACCGGTTTTCACGTACCCGATTAAGTTTCCCTATTTGACGCTCGCTCAGTCACTTGCAAATTCTCCTCTCTCCTTTGAGATAATGATTCTTAGGTTTATTACTGTGTACGATCTTTTTTCAGAAATATACGAGCTGTAAAATGAGCCGCAGAATGAGCGGAGTTCCGGAAGAGTTTTCCCGGGAAATGAAATTCCACTTAAGTCCGGTCGATCTCGTTATGTAACGTCGAGGCGCAAAGTTGAGGCAGCACTTTTTCTTCTTTCCTTCACTCTTATTATTATTAGGAAGAGGTCTTTCTTGTTTTCTTTTTTGAGGATGAACTAATCACGAGGAAAGTTTCAAGCGGCAATCTGCTGATAAATGACTGGAGAAATTAAAATAAGATTGCACGATGATGACGCGGACCTGGCAAACGTGATACCGTTCTCGGGAATTGAAATCTGTTCAGGTTGCAAGGCATGACTCCTGATTACTCCGTTGATTGTTTCTGTAATGTCCAGACACTTCTACACCTGCAGTTCCTTGTTCCGTTTCTTCGGAAACTAAGGAAATGTCGTTACGTCAAGGCTCTACAAATTGCCGAGTTCCAACTGTTCTTGGACCTGATTTTGAGATGAACTTTGCTGATCACCTTGTCCTGCCCCTCGTACGAAATGGTCTGAAAATACTTTGTGACGTAACCGATGGAATGGAATATGAATGAAAGAATATACGTGCGGTTTCGGGGCGTTTAAAAACTAGTCACGAGTGAAATCCCGACTTTCCTCGTGAATCCTGATTCTAAGATATAACGGGGCCGTCCGTACTCCCACGGAATATTGGAACTAGTCCTGGTCCTGGTCCTTTCTTTTTTATTTTTAATCCGAGTTCCTGCAGGTGAAAGTTCCAACTTTCGTCATTGCAGAGCTTGGCCGTGTTCAGGATAACTCACGCTCCCATTTTCGTTATTTTCCTTTTTCAGGAACCAAGGAAACCGCATGAAGCACAACCCGCAAAACCATGGACAGCAAGGCAGAACGGGAAAAGGTGAAGAATCCTCGAGAGGGGGCGAATCCCCTGAGTGTCTTAACATTCTCGTAAGTGGTAAACAATTAATGCATCACGGTCTCAAGATTGTTGTTTCTAGGATACCCTTAACTCCACTCTTACGAGCAGCGCCACTGATAACTTGTAACTCCTATCCTGGTGGCCGCGGTTATCGGCTCGGCCTGTAAAAAGTCAAATCTAGCATGTAGACCGACCAATTGCGCTAATTATGTTTAGGTTTACGTCATCGAGCCAGTATCCTTCTACAATTAAAATCGCATCGTCACCCGTTTTCGGTATTTTTTTGTTTTTTTCTTGTATATTGTTTTACCAATGGCCGACCAACTGCGCTAATTATGTTTAGGTTTACGTCATCGAGCCAGTATCCTTCTACAATTAAAATCGCATCGTCACCCGTTTTCGGGATATTTTTTTTCTTCTGGTGTTTTGTTTTACTAATGGCCTTCGAAGCCTTTCGCAAATACTTTGGGTGCCGGAACAAATAGCCTTATCGAAAAGTATCTTGTTTTCCGCGAAACGCGACAAACACCGAGCCTTGGAATAATCCTTACACGCCGCGGTGACTTGTTTCCTCGTAATCCGCCTGTTAAGACCTTAAGGCAATCCCTATCTGCTGTGGCGAATTTTTAATCGAGCCGCAGGATCGGTATATGGGCGAAGAAATCGGTAAATATAATTATATAAGCACGCCGAGCTAACGTGTCATTCTCGTTCAGGGAAGAAAGCGTCAGGTCGGATTAATTCCGGCTACTTAGTTGCTCGGCGTTATGCAATTGATTACGTACTAATCGTTATCACTGCGCGATGATTAAGCCCGGTTAGATTCTCGCTACCTTGGCATCTTGTCTCGACATTTTCTCTCCGACGTCTCTTTATGAATCTGGAGCCTGTTCTTTCGATTAAGGTGAAGTGAAACACGTCGAGGAACTCGATCGACGTCGACAAAGATTTTTCTAAATGCCTACGTTGCCGACGTTCGTTTTTATATTGACAGCTGTATCGAATTATATTGAGCATTGTACCAAATGGCATACTCCACCTCTCGTTTTCGTACAATAATTATAAAGAAATCGAAGTAAAACTCCAGAAATCCTCTGGATTCGTGCTTTCTGGGACCCTAATTGACTGCAGAGGGACCCCCTGCGCCATCTATGATTTCCAGGTCAATTAAATTTTCACTCCGAGACCTCGTATTCCCATCGTTTTAGCATAGAAGCGCATACAACACTTTTTTTGCCTTTATCCCGTTCAAATGCGAGTTTATCGATTACCAGAGTGTTCTAAATTGTCGTAAAATTGTCCTGATCCTTTCGTTTCTCATATCGGAGCCTTCTATAATTATATATTAATCGAAATATGAGAGCTCGACGCCATTTTGGTTCTGGTCTGGGCAGAGTTTAAAAATTGTTTCCAAAAATCCAAATTTTGAATGCGTCAGGACAATTCTTAGACGATCATGTGTCAAAGTTTCGGACAGTTTGGTCTAATACCCTTAAAAAAAAAAAGTGTTGTATTCGAATCGACTGATTTGAAGGGGGTTTCACTTCACCTTAACCGCTCATCTTTCCTTCGACAGATGGATCCTACGCACATTCTGGCTGGGTTATCAGAGGGACCTGGAGGTGACCGACTTGTACAGTCCCCTGAAGGAGCACACGAGTAGCATCCTTGGGGAGAAGATCTCCTCGGCCTGGCAGGACGAGTGCAAGCGCATCAGTAAATATCAAAAGCAACGTGCCAAGAGAAAAGATGGCAAGGGCGAGGATAAGGACGAGAAGGGACCGGAGCCGAGCCTCATGCGCGTCCTGATAAAGTGCTTCGGCACTCCGGTCATGTTCTATGGAATTGCCTTGGCCATAATGGAGATATTACTCAGGTACGGCCGATTACTCGTAGCTCCCTTTTTGCCCTGCCACGGTGCAAGTCATGCTCTCACTTTGTCGGAATGACGAGCTACGTGCCGAGGGATTTTCCTTAACTCGGGTCATCGGATTCCTTCAAATCAGGAGTGACTAAGACTTCCGCCGATGGCAGTGGACGGCGATCGACCTCGATCTCAAAATACCTCAGATTTTCCCCGAGTCATGAATCGACGCCGTTAGTTGGTTTTCGTTACACGTTCTTTTCTTTTTTTTTCTCCCGTATTGACTTTACCTACGGTGGACTGACGAGATTACCTCCGATTGCGCAACCTCGGCGTTTACCGGGCTGCGCCGTCGCAGATAACGATTACGAACTCCCAACGCGATTCCCTCGATTTTCGAGGGTTCTGGAAGAAATTGACACGTGTTAAGGGGGGCCCGACGAACGGATCCTCTTTCCCGATGTCGCTTAGAATCGCTTATCACGAGACACGAGTGCACGTCGTGGATGTGCAACTACCCGGCTCAATCTCTCCGACCGATGCAGCGGACCTCGCCTTCCACGCGGTTCGATTCACATGACGATATTATATATTACGCAGATTGTTGCAACCGTTGTTCCTCGGTCTGCTGATCCGTTACTATCTACTGAAAGTCCCGTATGTGCCGATCCACCGAGCCCAGGGTGTCGCGGAGGTGGAACTCGAGGAAAAGGAAGATGCTACCAGACCGTTAAGTCCCCAAGCCCCTTGCTCCTCTACCTATCGACCCTCCGTATGCAAAACATCGGACAATTCGGGTAGTTCAACAGTACATGAGATACTTCTGGCTTTGCTAGTCGGTCCTAAATAGTCTCGGCGCCGATCGCTTCTCAATTCGACTAGCAATATAGGGGGATTACATGTACGACGTTAAAGCCAATTCCCTACTAAAACCCGTGTGGGAATTTAATAACACGAATTAAGCGTTTGCGAATGTAGTCTAGGTCAGTGATGCCTATGCACGGTCTGTGCTCCGGGCGTAGACGACAGCTCGGTTATCACGCGCTGATTAATTCTGACGTTTTTTCTTCTTTTTTTTTTCTCCCCCTTTTTCTTCTGGGAGAGTTCAGCTTCGATATTAGCGATCTACGCTGTAAGACCTCGTTCGGACTTATGCCAGACCCGATGTGCTCTAATTGTTGGCGGTGCAGGGTGATGCAGCCGCTGTTCCTGGCGCGGCTGCTGCAGTATTACGAGAAGAAGAACAGCAGCATCACGAAGGAGGAGGCGTATCTGTACGCGGGAGGGGTCGTCATGTGCTCGGCTATAAACATTTTCGTCATCCACCCGTACATGATGGCGATCCTGCACATGGGGATGAAGATCCGAGTCGCCTGCTGCAGTCTCATCTACAGGAAGGCCTTGAGGCTCTCGAAAACGGCCTTGGGAGAGACCACTGTAGGTCAGGCCGTAAATCTCCTCTCGAACGACGTCAACCGATTCGACGTGGCCATCATCTTCCTGCACTATTTATGGATCGGCCCCCTGGAGACCATGATCGTCATGTACTTCATGTACAGGGAAGTCGAGAACTCCGCGATCATCGGCGTGGCGTCGTTACTTATGTTTATTCCGCTGCAAGGTAAGCAGCTGATAATTACCACCGCTTATACGAGTTCGGGAATATGTATTTAAGGTGAAGTGAAACACGTCGAGGAACTTGATCGACGTCGATAAAGAAGATTTTTCTAAATGCCTACGCTGCCGACGTTCGTTTTTATATCGACAGCTAGGTCGAATTATATTGGATATTGTACCAAATGGCATACTCCACCTGCCGTTTTCGTACAATACATATCAAGAAATCGAAGCAAAACTCCAGAAATCCTCTGGATTCGTGATTTCTGGGGCCCTAATTGACTGCAGAGGGACCCCCTGCGCCATCAGTGATTTCCAGGTCAATTAAATTTTCACTCCGAGGCCTCGTATTACCATCGTTTTGGCATAGAAGCGCATACAACACTTTTTTTGTCTTTGGGCTAAGTTAAAAAATCCAAATTTTGAATGCATCAGGACAATTCTTAGACGATCAGGAGTGATGTGTCAAAGTTTCGGACAGTTTGGTCCAATACCCTTAAAAAAAAGTGTTGTATTCGAATCGACTGATTTGAAGGGGGTTTCACTTCACCTTAAACTCCCCGATGACCGAATTCCTGGATCGCAAATCTCTTATGGGAGTTAATTCGGTTATATGGTAAGACTGATTTCGTGTTTTTAGGATTCCTCGGGAAGAGGTCGTCCGTACTTAGACTACGCACTGCCATTAGGACCGATGAGAGGGTCCGCTTGACCAACGAGATCATCGGAGGCATCCAGGCTATCAAGATGTACACGTGGGAGAAGCCCTTTAGCGCACTCGTCGACTTTGCCAGAAGGTGCGTCTTGATAAGTCCTGACGAGCATGGTCGGATGAGGTGGAGTAAGACTTGTCCATCTTCGTATAAAGAGCTGAAAAAAATTAGGCCAACGCTTACTCCGTCGAGCTCGCCTAAAATCATTTCGGAGACAATTTTCTTGTCCGCCTCAATTGGTCCCAATCAGTGCCAGGACCTAGCAGTTTGATGATTCGTAGGGTGCGATGTACTCTTCTTGTTTGCCCGCAGAAAGGAGGTCAACGTTATCAGAGCGACGTCCTACATCAGAGGTGTGATCATGTCCTTCATAATATTCACTACGAGACTTTCGCTGTTCATAACCGTGCTTCATTACGTCCTCGCAAGTAACTCCAAGGGACGGATAAATGCGGAAATAGTGTTCATGCTGACTGCGTACTATAATATACTGCGTCAGACCATGACGGTGTTCTTCCCACAGGGTAATTATGCGAAGGCGCGCGAGAAATGTCGCTTCTTCAAGGTGGTTCCTGGATACGAAGCCCTTTGTTTTCTCTTTTTTCTTTTATCTCGTTTCTTGCAGGAATCACTCAAGTGGCTGAGGCTATCGTATCGATCAGGCGATTGCAGAAATTCATGCTGTACGAGGAAGTGGGAATGGTGGAGAACGCTGCCGATGATAAGCAGGACACCGCGGAGAACAGCAATAGTAATGAGAAAAATAAATCCGAGCCGAGTGAGAACAATAAGAAGGAGAGCGTGGAGAAGATCGAGACGAACGACGAGGATGGAACTATCCTTATGGAGAATTGCTACGCCAAGTGGGTGCTGGACCACGAGGAGGACACCTTGCAGAACATCAATATAAAGGTTAAGCCAGGTGAATTGGTGGCTGTCGTTGGGCAGGTTGGCTCAGGGAAGACGAGTCTCCTTCACGTTCTTCTGAAGGAGCTGCCTATTCAGTCTGGGACGTTACAGGTTCGTATGCCCCGGTGGGAATCTCGTCAAATTTGCCGTTCTAATTTTCTCCGCTTGCCTGGTGAGTTACATCGATTTTTTGTTGACGCAGGTAAAAGGCAAAATCGCGTATGCCAGTCAGGAACCCTGGCTCTTTGCTGGCTCCGTAAGGCAGAATATACTGTTCGGTCGGAAGATGGACCATCGGCGGTACGAGAACGTGGTTAATGTTTGCCAGTTGAAGAGAGACTTCAGTCTGCTGCCTTTTGGCGATAAGACTATCGTCGGCGAACGAGGGATCAGTCTTTCTGGCGGCCAGCGTGCTAGGTCGGTTTGCCGGGAGAAAAATAGGATTGATACGTTTTAATAACAACGGAATGTTCTTAATCGCTCGTTGACGCTTTTTAACAGGGTCAACCTGGCGAGGGCAGTCTACGCAGATGCGGCGATCTATCTCCTGGACGACCCTCTGAGTGCCGTGGACACGCACGTCGGTAAGCACATGTTCCAGGAGTGCATCGACAAGTACTTGAAAGGCAAAACCAGGATCCTGGTGACCCACCAGATACAACACCTCAGCAACGCCGACAGGATCATCGTGTTAAAAGACGGCGTCATCCAAGCGGAAGGGTACGCATCTCGTAACAACCGATTCCATATATAAATTCAAACCGGAACGTTTGTACCATCAGGACGTACTCGGAATTGGGAGCAATGGGCGTCGATTTTGGCCGACTGTTGGAAGTCCAAACGCAAACCGACGAACAGGTCGCTTCGGCTCCGGCAAGCAGGAGCAATTCTCGACACACCAGTATCACTTCCTTATCGTCGTTCATGACGAACGACACCAATAAACAGCAGGACGAGCCAGCCGAGGTATGGAGGAACCACCTTGACGAAGTGCCGTTGATATCGCTTAACGGGGAATTTAATGAAGGCTATTTCATAGGTCGCTGAAATGCGCAGCGTAGGGACTGTCGGTGGCTGGGTGTACCTGTCCTATCTAAGAGCTGGTGGAAACTGGGGTATTGTCATCGGTATCTTCCTATTGTGCGTCTTTGCTCAAATGGCTGCTAGCGGTGGAGACTTCTTCATCGCTCGTTGGGTCTCGATGGAGGAGCAGGAAGACGTTAGTTACTTAATGAATTCTTGTCGCCGGTTTAACATCAGCACAGCCTAGAACACGGGGGAATAATATTTACAGAAAAGCGCGGAAACGGGATACGTGAGACCGTTGAGCAGCGAGGTCTGCATCTACATCTACACCGCCCTGACGGTGCTAACCATCATCGTGACCTTGGCCCGCTCGTTCTCCTTCTTCGCGATGTGCATGAGAGCCTCGATGCGCCTCCACAATCGGATGTTCCAGTGCATCTGCCGGGCGACCATGCGCTTCTTCAACACTAACACCTCGGGCCGGATCCTGAACCGCTTCTCTAAAGACATGGGAGCCATAGACGAGCTCCTGCCCACGGCCTTGATCGACTGCGTGCAGATCGGCCTGACTCTTCTGGGCATCATCGCCGTGGTAGCCATCGCGAATCCCTGGCTGCTGGTGCCCACCGTGTTCGTCGGCATCATCTTCTACTATCTGAGGGTGTTCTACCTCTCCACCAGTAGGAGCGTCAAGCGTCTCGAAGGAGTCAGTGAGTACCGTCGTAATGTAATATCCCGTTTTTACCCAATCCACCTGGAGGACTATCGGACCCTCGTCGTCGGTAGGGAACCTCGTTAGTCTCTAAGTCATACATTACCCTCGGTAAATCGGTTACGATGAACCATTCGGTGTAACGATAAACGGTCGCCAGCCCGTTCGCCGGTGTTCGCACACCTGAACGCAACTCTCCAGGGCATGACGACGATCCGGGCCTTCGACGCCGGGAAGACCCTCACCAAAGAGTTCGACCACCACCAGGACCTCCACTCGTCTTCCTGGTACATATTCATCGCGTCCTCCCGAGCCTTTGGCTTCTGGCTGGACGTCATCTGCGTCATCTACATCGCCTTAGTCACCCTAAGCTTCCTGGTCCTCTACTCGGACGATAATAAGCCGGATGGAGGGAACGTGGGTCTGGCCATCACCCAGAGTATCGGTCTCACGGGGATGTTCCAGTGGGGCATGCGACAGAGTGCGGAGCTGGAGAATCAGATGACCTCCGTGGAGAGGGTCCTGGAGTACACGTAAGTCTTACGCGTGTGTATTTTTTTTTTTCTTGGTCGGCACGATGACGAGAACCCTCCGGTTTTCTCAGGAACGTGGAGAGCGAGCCACCCCTGGAGAGCACGCCGGAGAAGAAGCCTCCGAAGGATTGGCCGCAGAGCGGGAAGATGGAGTTCAAGGAAGTATTCCTGAGATACTCCCCGACGGAACCGCCTGTCCTGAAGAACCTGAACTTCGTGATCCAGCCTCGCGAGAAGATCGGCATCGTCGGCAGGACCGGAGCCGGGAAGTCGTCCTTGATTTCGGCCCTCTTCCGACTGGCCGATATCGAGGGCCAGGTCGTGATCGACGGAGTGGCTGTCGGGGAAATCGGCCTGCACGACCTCCGCTCGAAGATCAGCATCATCCCGCAGGAGCCGTTCCTCTTCTCTGGGACCTTGCGGAGGAACCTGGACCCCTTTGACTCCTACACGGACGACGTGCTCTGGCGGGCCCTGGAGGAGGTCGAGCTGAAGGAAATGGGCCTGGAGGCCCACGTTACCGAGGGCGGTACCAATCTCAGCGTGGGCCAGCGCCAGTTGGTCTGCCTAGCCCGAGCTATCGTCCAGAACAATCCCATCCTGGTCCTGGACGAGGCAACGGCGAACGTCGACCCGCGCACCGACGAGCTCATCCAGACCGCCATTCGCCAGAAATTCGAGAACAACACCGTACTGACGATCGCCCACAGACTTAACACCGTTATGGACAGCGACCGCATCCTGGTGATGGACGCTGGCACTGTCGTGGTAACCATTTCGTTACTTCCTCGGTCAAATCAACCTCCGATTACCATACTCCCCACCTAGAGCTCTTCTGAATTTTTTCAAAAAATTTCAGGAATTCGACCATCCTCACTTACTGCTCCAGAAGGAAAAGGGATACCTACAAGGCATGGTCAAGCAGACCGGAAGGTCCATGGCGGAGGCGCTGACTGCGGTCGCTCGCAAGAACTATCTGGAAAGGACTTCGACGACACTTTAAGAGGGATAATCACCGTGCCGCTGTTATTCACAGTATTCTAGCGTGCCAGATCGCGATAGGCCGCGAGGACAGTCTTAGTCAAAGTCTCTCTTTCTCCCCCGTGTCTCCTATATCTTCGTCCTTCTTTTTTACGGACTTGCGGAGAACGCTCCCCTCAGGCCTCCCCGCGATGTCTTCACGGTGTCCTCCCATCGCCGTCGCATTTTTCTAACGCGGTGTATTTTCTCGGAGACTGACAGAGATTCTAGATTAATCTTTCTAAGTACTTTGTAAAACTCAAGTCGGCGCGATACAGTATTAATGCCGTGTACCCTCCTGGCTCGGTGCAGCGCGCGAGACGGTCGTGCTCTTTTTTTTTTTGTTCCTTTTCCTCCATGCCGCACGAATCGCGAGTTTCCGCGTAGAGACCTCCGCTCTTCGGGGTAGGGTTCCTGGCATGTAACGGCGTGACTTACACCCGCTATGACTATACTCGACGGGTTTTAATACTTAGGAGAAACGTACGTAAGGATTACGTATCCACGGAGAGATCGGCCCGTGACGTCGCGCGTTAATGCCCCGTCACGGGATAAATTGCATACAAGGTGCCGATTGTAATGGCGTACTTACGGTGTCCATTGTTAACACTTGGTGCTCGTTTGCGAGGGACGTGGAAATCGTGCCCGAGCAACGTCCCCCCCCTCCCACGAAGGAAAAAAAAAATATGAAAATGTCACAAAATAATGGTGCTCAAATACCCCTCCCCGCAGTGCTGCACGATAAGTGCGTTTTGTCGCGGTACTGATAAATGTAGCGTCCTAGTACTCGCGATAAGTTAATGCCGGATCTCTCTTATGGGTCCCGCGGTACGCGATGGAAAGCGTCCCTTGTATAATTGGTCTAATCAAAAATCCTGTCCGCAAGTGTAACGCGTAAATGTGGTGCCGTTGCCGTAGTATAGAAGCGATCGCCTTAAATACAAGTGCCTGTATATTGAAAGATTGTACATGAAATATAGATAGATGGAATTGTTTACATTGTATAACCGAGAGCTCTAGATTAGTGGTGCCTGAGGTGCCGGCTCAGGAAGCCCGACTCGTAGCCAAAGTACGTCACGTTTATCATTCCTGTCCTTAGAGAACTACAACGACAGTGGTTAAACTGTGAGATTCGCTAGTGCATCGCCATCTTTCTTTATTGTACAATTTCGACGCAGCGGTGTTTACAGCGGTCCCGTTATCGTTAACTGCTAGTAAAAAAGAGAGGGTGGAAAATGGTACGAACGTAGGATATCCCCCGGGAGTCGGAGATACACCCGGGGTACTCCTCGAAATGATCGCGATCCCCACCTTGCCTCGTTAAGTGTCCTGCAAAACGGCTGCGACGGCCTTAAAGGAAATGGTTACGTCTTTACGTCTAACGTCAAACGTTTCCTTGTAACGAGAGGAGGAGGAAAGGTTTTACATGCCCGAACGACTTGGTTAGGAACTCTGTGCAGTGGCGGACATGAATGCCTCCCCTGATGATACGACATTGCCTGTGCAAGATTGGGAGGGCATTGATGTCTCCCAGTGCACACTGTATTGGCAATTCCTATCGAGGGGAATTAACGTTTCCTCTCCGCGGTAGAGACGAAAAAAAAAAGGGGGAAAAAAATGCAAGAAACAGTACGTCGAGTAAATGACTGGATTTACTTGAGGGGACGGGTAAAAACGACGGGGCAATCTTCATTCCGAGGGGGGAATCCTTGATCCGATCGCGCGACGAGAGAAAATAAAAAAAGCCTTCGCTTCGTTCCTCGATTCTGAAATTCTCCTCGAATCGTCGATCGGGAGGGATTCTTCATTATTTTTTTCTTTTTCTTTTTGTTCACCTTATGTATACGCTAAAACTATTTACTCTGCTTACCCAGCTCGCAATAACTGCTTGTCGCAAAAAAGATAACCCAAGCATATCCTCGCGAGACGAGTACACTAGTGTGTCGTAATACTGACAGTAAAGAGATTACAGTAACGTTAAAATTAAGCTCACTGTATAACTCCGGCTGAAATGGCTAAATTACGGTTACGCTTACGGGTGTAATTACAGGCTACGGTTACAAGTAGTAGTTATGGTAGGCATACTCTAGGTATAGTAAGTAGGGTCAGAAATGCGTCCTTTCCGCGAATCATGCGCTAAAGGGGAGGTAAATGGTCGGACGTGTAAACGAGGTGGATTTTCACCGTCACGATGAAATGCGATTTCTCTCGCTTTTTTAAAAATGTCTAAAATTTCTGAAATTTCCCCGGCTAAAAGGAGACCGGATTAAAACGTTAAAATGTAGACATCTCGGAAAGGACGCGTCCCTGCGTGGAAATAATGCAGATCTCTCGAGGAGTGACGCTCGTGGGGCCTTGGTCGGTTTACCGTTGTTATGGTTTTAAGAAGATGACAAAAAAAGAAAGAAAATCCCGCTGTACACGTTGCCTAAATCCTACGCGGTTAAAACCAACCAGAAAACGAGTATCGCGACGAAAATGCGATAATTCGAGTCCTAGATTAAAATACAAACTCGCCATTTCCAGGCGCGAAGCGACACTTATGTGTGATTTTTCCTTGAGAACGTTTTCTATATATTCATATATATATATGTAAAAAAAGAAGTAAAAATAATAATTACTCATCGTGGGAAATGAAACGTTACCGCCGTGGGTCATACGACGACGTGGACGATAAAATACTTTCAGCAGTTGTAAAAGAAACTATACAAGTCGCGGTTAATGTCTTACATCGAACACCGCGTTCGGCAGCATTAAGAGCAATTTGGACGGTAAAAAAGGGATGATCGGTCGGTAGAATGATTATAAAAAGGAAAAGAGAGGGAGAGATGGGGAGAAATAACGTTCTAACGTGCAAGAGAACACCGCGCGCAGAGCCAAGACGCGCGGCGAAAGGCCTTTTCACTTCTCTTGGGGCTTTTAACATAAATAATAGGGCTAGCTAAATAAATAAGGATAACTACACGATGCTCCCAATATATACAGAAGAACGACTGCGAGAAGTGCGGCGGTACCTTGGGGAAGGGAAATGCAACCCTGGAGGCGCGCTTTCCCCTCCGCCGAAGAGACACAGCACGACGAGAAGGAAGACTTTAGTTTTTCTCGTTATTTCGGTACAATCGGAGATTAGCGATGGCTACAATGGCCCGGGGGTTGTACGTCAAGGTGTACCCAACGGCATTTCAAAGCCGACAAACTGACGTACCGATCGCTCACGAATCGGTATTCCTTAATTGCCGGTGGCGGGGTTTACGTTGATTAGATTCGCAGGCGCGATTAGACTTTACAGCGGTGATCGATCCGTTAAGGATATGGCATCTTAGGGGTCAATTGTTCATGAAACTTTTCACCGAATAGGGTGCACCAATTTGTTTGAAATTTTACCACACGAATAAGGAGACCCTGAGGTAGGTCCTGGAGCTCGCGAAATGTCATTTGTTATTAAAATCGTTGAAAATAGGTATAAAGAAATTATCTTAAAATCGAGATTTCATGGGTTTCAGGACCTCCCTTAGCGCCTCCATATTCACATTGTCAAGTCTGAGACGATTCGGTACACCCAATTCGGAGGAAAGTATCGTAAGCGATACCTCTTTGACGCCACTTTCACATCGCCTTAACGATCGGGCGGTACCTCCTCATTTTTGTAGAAAAAAGATGAAGGGTACACGGAATTATCGGGACGATCCAGAGGGCGAACAACGAGAAGCGCGAGTTCGGTGCGCAATGTCGAGCCTTTCGTTGTCTCCGAGGGTATCCGAGAACCGTCAGGCCGGGAAAAATCGATGGGTCCCGAATTCGCGGCAAAAGGCGTCTAATTATGAGATCCCTAACATTTCCAGACATTTACAGGGAAGAGAGGACCCCGTGGGAACGATTATTCCCAGGCACAAGGACCGGGAGGTGCACTTCTGCGAGCCAGGACGAACGCTATGGTGCAGGGTGAATCGTACGCCTCGACGAAAGTGACTACAATTATTACAAGGACTATACATCGTTGCGCTCGTCCTGGCTAGGAAAAGCTTGCTCCTTGCGCGTCGCAATAATCGTTACCACGGGATCCTCGAGTTCGAACTTTCCAGTCTACTGCCTCGTCGTTCAGGTTCGCCCTAATTTGACTGGTGGACAATTTGACGGAAACGTCGAACGTCAAGCCAAGAGAGGAACGGGAGGTGAACCTTCGCGCGAGAGGTCGGAAATCCAAGGATACGCATTTACAAAGATCCCTATAAGTCACTAGGGACTCCTCTTGAACGATACTCCTCCCTCGTGCGCGAACGCGAATCCCTATCGAGGCTTAATTATCGACGTCGCCGTAATTATCGGCATTCGCCTTTAACGGTGACTCGGTAGTCGTCAAAGAGTAAGGACTACCATCCGAGGTGAGGTCCCTGGAGCGAGAACTACGAGGTCTTGAGGACCCCGAGGACCTCCCCAAACTTCTCTAGGGAACCCTGCCATCCCAAAATGTCCTTAAACACCTGCAAAAGGTGTGTCTTCGTCGTCGGAGCGCCTTCGTTTCCCAGGACTCGGTCCTGCGTCCGGACCAGGACGAGGTCCTGCGTCTAGACCAGGACCTCCAGGCTCTCCCTTGAGCGGGCCTTCTGCTGGCCGGACTTGCCGTTGGCCTGGACTATCATGGCTACCGATTGACACCCTCCGTCAGATCCTGTCGGTCTCACGGCCGGCATGGCCAGTCTCAGCTTGTACCAGAACTTGTAGCCTCCGACTCCTGTCCCTCCGCCCTCGTCCCAGCGCAGGATCTTGACGCGATCCTGGCCCGATCCCGCGGCTGCCCCGTCGTTCACCGTCACCCTTCCCGAGGACTTGGCCATTGTCGTCGTCGCCGAGTGCGGCAGCTCCTTCAGGGCGACCAGGATCGTCCTCGTCGAGAGGGAGGCTAGCTGCTTCAAGACCGCAGCCACCCCTGCGTCGTTCCAGACGTTCCCCAGGGACGCGGGACTCAGCACCACCAGGACTCTCCTTGCCGAGGAGGAGTGCGGCCCGATTTCCAGGCCCCCTGGAAAGAGACATCACATTTATCCATAATTAAATAATAACTGTAAATTTATATTTAACCTTACAGTAAAAGAAAATAATTGAAATCCAAGGTAACCACGTGGATTGGGAGTTTCCTCGAGGAGGGACGTCAAGCGAGGGGTCTGCCGCTTCCGCCTGAAATTTCCGGTTCCGGTCGCGGGTCTCGAAATTACGTCGGTGCCTGTTTATCGGCGTAATCCGATTGGGGGAGCCGACGAGGCCTGGATAAAGAGAGGAACTCGGGACCCCGGCGAGGAGGAAACTTCAGGATTCGATTTGCCGGAAACTGGGCTGCGATTTCCCGCTCTCTAAGGATTCCCTCCCCCGTCCTTTCTCTCTCCCGAAGGAGTTCCCGGTTATACGCGTGCGGCTTCCTCTCGTGATGCACTTATTCTCCCGCTCGGCCTCGAGGGAATTTACTACCGCCTCGAGAGCACGAGGGCTCCTTTCAATTTTTATATTCAACGAGACTCACAATTCTGATGCAGGTGAGACAGCTCCAGGGCGGTGCACTTGTATCGGTGCCTCGACTCCAAGGTGGGAATCAGGATGCCCACCACCAGGTTCGAGTCCTTCTCGTGGTAACACACCAGCGCGTCGCAGTCCTTGCCGTCTGGAAGTCAGACATCTATTCGTCAATTATACAGAAAAATGTGTCTCCTCTCAGGAAAAGCCGAGAAAAAGCTAAAAGAAAAAAAAAGAAGAAGACGAAGAAGTCATCGAGGTCGCCCGAGAGGCGCTGCGCCATTCTGCCTGAGGATTCGAGAGAGAAAAAAAAAGGGAAAAAAAATACTAAACCACAATGAAAGACATTCAAAATACATTTGCAAGTCGGACAAATCGGAGGCGCGATTTCGCTGATCCTCGACTTCCTGCCGGGTCCCAGGCTCGGAATTGTATTCGGTCGGCCACCGCGTCTGGATTTTCGCTTTTTCCGCCCACGTGGCGAGAAATCACGTTCCCTGTCGTGCCTCGGTTACAAGGGACTGCTATCGGGTGTCCGGTGAATCGAGTTACAGGTATGGTTGCAAACTAATCGACGGCCCAGGTGACACGAAGACTCCCCTTACGAGGGACCCTGGCGTTCTCTCCGGAAATTCAATTACGCCGCGTCGGGGCGCCTTCTGGGACGAATGGGATCTAATGGGATCGAACGGGATCGAATGGGATCGAACGGGATCGACTGGTCCCGATTCGGCGAACCTGCCGGGAGGTAAAGTCCCTTTTGTAGCGAAGGAGCTCTCCTCGTTACGTGTCGGCTCGTTAGTCGCGATCCCTCGGCGTAGATCGGACTGTCGATGCCGATCCCTGCCTCTTTACGCCTCGGAATGCGTCCCTCGGGAGCACACCCTCGGGAAACAATGGACGGCCAGGTGAGAATTGAAAATCCGCCGGTAGCTCGATAATTCCATGCAAAAACGCGGGACTCGCCGCGCCCTGGGGCCGACCCCTGGCGCGACGAGAGGATGTCTCGGGGTCTGAATGTCTGAATGTCTGGGATGTCTCGACATCGGGATGTCTGAACGTCCCGACGTAAGTGTGGGTCTGCATCCCGATGAGTCGAGATGTTAAATCGCCGATACGTCCGACTCGCGGATTTTCCGCCTGCTTTGTTCGTAGATCCTCGGCCTACTGGTTGGCGGATAAATCTCCATCGATCAGTTTGGAATTTCGATTAGCGACGAGTAGAATGGATATCCTGGCGTTGATCTTGAATGTTGGCCTGGGAAAAGGGGTAAGGCCGTGAAATCAAGAGCCATCGATAGGAGTGTCCTTTTTTCTTCTTGGTCCTTTTGTTCCTTTTTTATTCTTTTTTTTTATTCTTTTTTATTCTTTTTTTATTCTTTTTTTACTCTTTTTTTATCCAGACGTCCTTCCGGCAGGAATTGTCTCCGCAGTGGCGCTCTCGGGCGACTCGGTCGGAAAAGAGGAAGCGCAAAGTAAGCGCGAAGAGGAAGGATATGTCAAGGAGCCAATAATTACCATTTTCCTCGAGAGGAGCAAACCTGTCCCGACAAAGAAGTGCCATAGGGAGCCAGCATCGGGCGTAAAACGCAGCCGCGGAAAACACCAGGACGACCACCAGAACGGCCAGGAGGAGGGACTTCCTCCAGGATCCGTTTTGCAGTCCCAACACGAACTGGGGCTCTGAAAAAAAAAAAGAAAAAGGGAATTAGAATCGATTATCTGTACCTCAATAGCAGACCTAGCCGCTGATAATTATACCAAATCGATATCAACCTCGATCTGAGATTAAAAACGGAGGTCCTATCAAGGACTAGACTCCAGGTATGAATTTAATTCCGGCCGCCTTACCTGAATATCCTGAAGGTGTAAAGAGTAATTAACACCTGCTCGGAGTCGCGTAAGAATGAAAAATGAAACGAAGTGAGGAATACGGGAAAAGTGCCCCTCTTCTACGGGGGTTTACTTTCCCCGGGATGAATAAATAACGGGGAATTGCATTTAAAGTCCACCGAGCCGTTGAAAGGTTAATTAAAACGAGGGAAGAGGAAGAGACTGCTCGGAGTAATTCCCGTTAACGGTAATTATACCGCGGGGAAACCGTACCTCGAGAAAGCGAGGCATCTTTAGAGGCGGACTGGACCGTGCTCTGTCCTCAGGGAGAAGAAGGGAAAAAAAAACGGGAAAAAAGAAAATATTTTACAGCGACTCGATGGAAATTGGAGCGAAGGGTTACCTTGGCGATAAATGTGAGCAGGCAGCGTTATTTCCTCGTCGACGCCGTTGCTAACCTCGCACTTGTACTCCCCGTAATCCTCGAGAGCGATGTCCTCGATTTCCAAGTAGGATCCGATGATGTGCTCGTCTTCCCTAGGGACATAAAATGGAACCAGGCTGGTAAGAACTCGAAATCCAGAGGGGGGAAATTTAGGAGACGGGTTTACTGCGAGTCTGGGACAAATTAGACTCGTCCTCCAGGATTTCGAGAGGGGACGGACAGGATTTCCATCCTAAAAGCTCCAGTTACCCCTAGATTGCCATCGCGATTCTTAAAAATCATACCGCCTGCGGAGCTATTTTTAATATTCTTAATATCCTTAATATTCTCCTTTTAATATGCCCTTTTACCGGAATTCCGATTTTCCGAGGATAACGCGGATCCGACTTTTAATCCGCGAGATTTCACCTCGACGCCGTAAGCCGGAGGGTGCATCACGTTTTTAATTTTACAGGGGGACTGCTGGATCCACCCTCGGATCCCTGCATCTTATATGCAGGGAGATTGTAGCTGCGAGGGAGGAATAATATGGAAATTCGGAGCAGTCGCCGGCGCTGTACTAAATGGCCGGCATTACGGTGTACGTACACGGACGTCGCATCCCGGTAATAAAGTTACCCGACAAAGCCCCGCAAGACTGGTGGATAATTCCGTAAACTGCCCCCAATCGAGTAAGCTGATTAATTTCGGGGAGTTCAGCCGAACCGAGCCCCCGAGGCAAGGGGTTGATCCCTCCTCCCTTATCCATAACAAATTTTATAACGAATTAATGTATACCCTAGGAACTGCAAGAAATAAGGTGATTTTTTTTTTAATTAATCCCCATTTGATGATAATGCCCCAGGCCTGGATATCAAATTTAATAAACAAATTTTATAACGAATTAATGCATACCCTAGGTACTGCAAGAAATAAGGTGATTTTTTTTTAATTAATCCCCATTTGATGATAATGCCCCAGGCCTCGATATCAATTTCGGAGAAGAGTAAGGGGTGCGTCTCGATACCTCGATGTTCGATCAAATTGGAGAGAGGGTCCACACTTTGGGGACACTTTTTCGCCATTTAAACCACGTCGCACGGCATCTCCTCCCCGGGGGCGAAGCTGCACCCCGAGGGCTGGAACCGCTCGTTACCTCGAAATTGCCGTTTAGAGTTTACCTTCGTTTTGTTCCGCTCGTTACCGAGCCTCGCGGCGGGCTGCACGTGCATAATATTAAATATTATTCCGCGAGGATCGACGCGCCACGGCGAGAATTTACGAGTCGAGGGGCGGCCGATTTCTTCGACTCTTCAACGGGGTCGAAGAGGTGAACCACGAAGAGCCTTACAAGAGGCCCGAATAATTCGCGAAACCACTCGAGATAAAGTCATAAATACAGCGCGAGTGCACCCTTATCGAACGCCGGCTGGTCGGTCTCGGTTTCTCCTCCGGAAGCGACTATTTTCCTTTCCGGAAACGGCCATCTGGAGTCGCTTCGAACTTCTCGGACGGCCTCCACCTTGCCCTGGACGTCCCAATTAAGACCACGCCGGCGTCGGCAGGAAACTTTCGCGATGGCTTGGTTATATCGGGTTCCCCATTATCGGAGAATATGTATAGATATATATGTATATACCCGTGTGTATATAAATATATATGCCATCGACCATCGAGTCGACTCTTGCGCCCGGAGCGCTCGAGCGGTACCAAAATGGCGGCCGAAGAGCAGCCGCTCTTTGAGCGGCTTTAACACCGACTCGGATGCGATTTGTACTCGGTCGACCGGAATCGCGGAGAATTCCTCGATGCGAACCGATGAAGAAACCAGCGGACGAGGATCCGAAGGAATTCTCGACCGGGAAACGATGAGCGAGTTGGGAAATCAGTGGAACCCGAAGAGGGAGGAATAAATGGTACTTGGGGCTCCGAGAGGTGGATCTCGATATTCCTTCGATGTTTTCTTCCTATTCTCTATACGACCAGGTGGAATTATTTTCAAATTGGCTCTTTCTCCGCTTTTTCTTCGGGTTTACGGGTGTAAGGACCGTGGGACCAGGAACTGGGAACGAAGTAGGATGTCGAGATATGTCATCGGGAGGTCCTTTGAGGTTTCCGGCCCGGAGGTGGATGGACCCCAGGAGTGGCCAGATAAGGTAGGGTCGCCATCTTGGAGAACGAAAGTCACGCGATGACCGCCCTATCGCGATCGAGAAAAAGCCACGAGATGAACGCAGGGGATAAACCGTGCGTGATGAATCGCCGGATGCTGAAGAGCGGTCCTCGGAATTTGACCGCGGAAGGTAAAGGCGTCTCCTTTTCACGTTTTATTCCCCCTTTTTCAGAAATTTCTCCCGAAATTTCCGCTCCTACCGGAGCGCAGGGACGACGTCGAGTCGGATGGACGGCTTGCAAAGGGCCGCTCAAAGCGGAGACATTAACGCTCTGTGTCCCATTATTGGCAATATCTCTCGGATCAAAACGAAATAATCCCGCCGACAGGGCCGTTAAACGGAATATATTTGCCGCGACGTCACTTTATTTGACGCTTCATTGTGCCCGAACGGCCGACTCGACTTTTAGCGCTTATAAAGCCCGCCGGGGACGCCATCGCCATTTTACAATGCTTTTTACCGAGGACAAACAGCCGATATACGCAGTTCTCGGGTCAAATCGGACAATTTGGCCGCGTCGAAATACCCATCGCTTCAAATATTTCCTGCTTCGATCATTTATTTCCCGTCCGATTCCGATCGAGTGCTCCTCGGCTCGGAGAGAGTAGTCGACCATCGAGGTAAATCACGCAATCGGGAAATCAATTTTCAATCTAAAATCCCTGAAATCGTCTAAAATAATAATTATTCGTCAATTAAAGGGTATCGTATACCGAATACTTTGAAACTTTACAACGTGAACAGGGAGACTATAAGGAAGGTCCCGAAACTCACGAAATTTCAATTCTTTTCTAATTTGTTTATAGGCATTTTAAAAATACTTTATAAAGAATGAAATTTCACGAGTTTCAGGACCTACCTTAGGATCTCCGTATTCACGTTTTAAAGTATGAAAGGATTTGAGACATCCAGTTCTTAGAAAAGTTTTATGAACAATTGAGCTTTCGAATGCCGCTTTCAGATCCCCTTAATAAATCTGGGAAAATTCATGGGACTACGGTGTTACTTTTCAGGTGTTTTTTTTTTTTTTCTTGCAGCAGATTTGTGGGATTGTTAGGGGGAATTTCAGGTAGACACGTGTTCCGTGACATTAGTCGGGGTGTAATTTCTAACTTGGGTCGAGGTTGCGTCACTGAATTAGTAAGCAGTAATTAAGCGATCACCGGAGGCCATTAATCTCTGGGTTCCAAACAGGATCACACGGCTCGGTCTCCCCCTCTAGAAATTAGCAATCAGAGCCGGTAATCCGGGATATTAGCGGACACGGGGCTCCGATTTGATAGTCCTCGTCGGTCACGATAACCAGATCGTCCCGAACTTTATCAATCACCGTGATACGAGCCAGGAAGAGTCCGGAATGGAATCGAGCCCTCGACTAATTAATACTCTCGCCGAGGTTCGCTCAAAGGCGACTTTTCGTCCCCCTCGTCGAACAGGTGGCAGGTGCAGGTGCATCGGTGCAAATTAGCCTGACACCGAACCTGCAAATAACACGAGCAGCGTAAAACCTGCACGGGAATTAATTACGCGGACCAAGAAGTTCTCTCCTGCGAGGCGAAGTTAATTTACCGGAGGTGAAAAGTTGAGCTCCAGGGCGCAATAAGAATTTCCTTATTCATGGCGGCGTTGCGCCCCCCTCGGAAAATTATCCCCTGCAGGGGGGCGGAATCCAACATCTTGAGGGAAGTCTTTTCCCTCGGGAATTGACATCCCCCAGGACTTTGGGATCCTTTCAGGACTCTTACCTAGGTGGGAATTCGCCTCAGGAATTAAACTGCTGATTTGTCCCTTGGAGAAATTTCCTATGCTTTAAATTAAGAAAATTAATCTGGGCGCGAGAGTGTCTCTTAAAATCGGGAATGAGCGAGGGTATGTTTTTTGTTTATTTTTTTTTTGGGAGAGAGAGAAAAATTGTAGAGGGTCGCCGGGGCCCAAAATAAAGGCTTTGGGAATCGTGGAAGAAGAAACGAAGCGACTCTTCTCGAAGGAGGCCCGAAGAAGATTCTCTCGCGACAGGGCGATGCCGAGTTTCATGGCCGAGCCGAGTTATTAGCCTTACCGCGAACGCCAATGACCGTCGGGACTTTTCTAGGGAATCCATTTCTCTCCCGTTGCGCTATTCCTCCCGGGATCGGGGAAGAATGAAGATCCTGACCGCCGAGAAGGAGTCAGCCTCCGCGCCGGCGAGAGTTACCGGTGCTCTTCCAGGAATACCCGAGTAGAGCTCGTCCTTACAAGATGCTTCTCGAATGAAGATGTTTCCACCGCCCTCGAGATTCCCCCAAACTCGTCCTAGTGACTTCTGCCTCGCGGGAAGAGATAAAAAAGAGATCTGCATTTCTTTTCTCCGTTCCCCCCTCGCTTCCCTAGAGCTATGAAATACGAAATTTCAGAGTTTTCGCAAATGTCCCTATAAAAGTATTGCAGAAATCCGAAATTTCCTGGGTGTCAGGACCTTCCTTATAGCCAGAACATATTCCCCTCGTAAAGTTTCAAATTCAATTTCTTTCACGGCCAATTTCAAGTCACCTTAACACATTCGCGACCGGTAGATTTTTTCCGTTTCAAATACTGAGTACCGGGGAAAATAATGAAATTCTGAAATTAGTTGCCGCAAACTTGTATCGTGTGTCGTTATGGACGTGATTCACGTCAGCGGTAATCAGGAATAGAATTTAAAATGGCGTGAATTAACGTCGGCAGTCGCGAATGTGTTAAGGTGTACAGTAGTTAGATGACACCTGAAAAAAGTCCTATCTCCTGCGAGACCCTCGGTAATTCGAAAGTTCCGAATTTTCTAGGGAACACGAAATGTCTATCTCCGTTGAATCCATTTCCAGTGGTCGTCGGAAAAAATGGAGAAGAACCTCGGCGAGCACCGTTAACGGCACGGAGGGAAATTCCTGGGCACTTGACTCGGCAAGAAGTACGAAGTATCG